GTCTTTAGAACTAGTTGACATCAGGAAGACTATAGAAGAAGATGCAGACCTGAGCCACATATAAGTTCCTTGAGAAATGGCCAGCACAGTTTCCGAGGTATTCCTTGCTGAGAGATAACCTGTTGTATTACGGCAAACTAGTGCTACCTCGAGACTCACAGTTTGTGCAGCTAGCCCCACAGGAAGGGCATGATAGCAAAGTAAGAGGGCACAGGGGATTTCTAAAGACTTATAGGAGAGTGACAGAAACTTTTTTGTGGAAGGGGATAAGACGGGACATCCGGACTTATGTTGTTGCGTGTGAAATCTGTCAGCAACATAAATATTCCACCTTGGCACCAGCAGGACTGCTCCAGCCACTATCCATTCCTGATAAAGTTTGGGAAGATGTCTCGATGGATTTTGTAGACGGGCTGCCAAAATCAAAGGGGATTGACTCGGTGTTGGTAATAGATGATCGTTTAAGCAAATATGCACATTTCATTAGCCCAAAGCGTCCTTTTTCAGCCCCATCAGTTGCTGCAATTTTTGTTAAAGAAGTGGTTAAGCTTCATAGAGTGCCCCCGTTCCATAGTCTCAGATCGGGACAACGTGTTCATAAGCAAGTTCTAGAGTGAGCTTTTTAAGTTGCAAGGAACCTCATTAAAACACAGTTTCACTCATCACCCGCAAAGCGACGGTCAGACAGAGATGGTAAATAGGGGTATTGAAACATATCTACAGTGCTTTGCTTCGTTAAAACCAAGAAGGTGGTATCAATTTCTTCATTGGGCTGAATACTCTTATAATACTTCTTATCATGTATCGACTCAACTCACCCCTTTTCGCATCCTATATGGTCGCGATCCACCCCCATTAATTCGGTTCGAGAGAGGTACCACAGCCATATTCTCTTTGGAGCAACAAATGCTGGAACGAAACAAAGTTTTGGATGAATTAAAGTTACATCTCCATAAAGCTCAGCAACAAATAAAATCAGCAGTTGACAAACATAGGAGGAATGTGGAGTACATGGTAGGAGATTGGGTTTATGTAAAAATGAGGCCGTATAGGCGAAGTCACTGATGGTATGCCACAATGAAAAGTTAGCTCCGAAGTACTATGGACCGTTTGAAGTATTGGCAAGAGTGGGAAGAATGGCTTACTGCTTGTCACTACCAGCTGATGCCCGAGTTCACCCCGTCTTCCATGTTTTACAATTAAGAAAGGTGGTCGGAAAGGCTCCAGTAACATCTTCCCTGCCTCCTCAAATTGGTGAAGACTGGGAGTTACTTGTGGAACCGGAATTGGTGTTAGCATTCAGACAACCACAGAGGGGTACATCAGATGCTATGGAAGTTTTGATTCGGTGGAAGGGTTGCTTAATTTTATGTTGTTCCTTTCATGCTTAAAGTGATTGTATACCTCCCGTGTACTCTCTTTTAAGAAATAAAATTCTATGATTACCTATAAAAAAAAAAAAAAGTTGTTAGAGTTACTTGAGGGAAGGGTATAAATAAACATGTGAAGGTGAGGGGGGGGCGGGGGGATCAGCGAGAATTAAGTGAGGAAGAAGAGTTAGGAATATTTGTATTTCCATTGAGTTCTTGTATTTACAGTAACGTTTTCTTCAATCCAATTCAGTTCTTGAGTTTCAACCTACCAAAAAATTCCCATTCCACCAATTGAACAGTTTGGCTTTCTTTTCTTCTTTTCTATTTTACAGTTTTGACCATTAAATTCAGAGGGTAGTTAATATTCTACAATTTGTATTTGCCTGGACCAGAATGTTTAAATTTTGTTGTTTCCAGATTTAGAATATGTAATAATCGGACTACTTTGGATTGCAATATTAGAAATTAGTGACAAGTTCTTAAATATAACTTATCCGACTTTAAAAACATAAAATTCAATAAAACATCACATGGAGCTCTACAAGAGTAGAGAAACCACTATTTGTTAAAATCCATTGGTGTGCAATAGCATAATTTTAATTTTTTAAAAGTCAACTGCTTTAACATGGAGAGGGAAAACAGGTCTTCGCAAGATTAAGTGCATGACTTACTTGTAGGCCCTCCAACACTGACCACCAGCAACGGTTTTTGTAACGGCACCAACTCATTGTGCCAAGAAGAAGCTGCACTTCTCAACGCAATAGAATCAGCCTGGTGAATGGCTCCCACGGTAAGGACCTAAATTAAAAGTGTTTAGATTGGCAAAAGTCTAAACATGTTAAAATCAAAGAAAGCAAACAACCACCGATATTTTCTCCATTAGAGAATCATTTTTTATCAAATGAAGGAAGATAATACCACGTGCTTGTCAGGAGGCTTGCGAGGTGTTACCCATCTTCTGAGAAACCAAGGGACCTGTCTCTGTGCCTCAGGCGTCAATGGATAATAATCATGACGAGGTGTGATAACTAGATCAAATCTGTGTAGACGTGACCGAGGATGCTGTATCTAAAAGCATATTGTACAAGATATCAGAGTCTGACGCGTAAACTCGCAGGCCTGGTTCAATGACTTGTGAGCTATGACTATACTTAGCATGTCAAATGCAAGCTTATCATTCAAATTGCACCATGTTTGAAAAATATAAAGGCAGATAAGAACAAGTGCAAAAGATGTTGCTGACATCAACTTTGTAACCACTTCTCTACATCTGGAGATGTTTGTGAATGAGATTATAGGAATGTAAATGAGACAGACAATTTAAAACATATAAAATTTAAATGATACACAGATAGTAGAAAGAAAAATTGAAGAGTACTCTGGAATAAATTGTTTAGTTATTAAACATTAGAAAGTCAGAAACAAAATTGAGTTATACATACCTTTATATGCAAAAGAAAATCAAAAGCATAGAACACAATACATTCTATTCACACCGATAATTGATAAACCATTAATGTTGTTCACTTATTTTTATCCTTGTTCATAGAATTTAGTACCAAGTCAAGCATGTGTCAAGAACTTTTATTAATTTCTCTCTCTTAACTTAGGATAGCAAAGCATTGTGCAAAAATTCCATGTCAGATCCACATTCCAGCAGTGAGTGAATGGTAATTGTTCCCTATTAGAGCGTCACCTATTTAGAGTCTCATCTAACCTGAATAACAAAGACATTTTCTGGGGCTAGCTGTTTAATAGAGCTTGAAACAGGAATGGTGTCACGGCCAGATGCTACCACCAATATGGGGCCGTCCCTAAAAAAGTTACAAAAGTAAAAGCTTAGAACTAACCGATACACGCATACAAATATCTGTACACAGATCATATTATGCACAGTCCTTGGAGAATAGCTTATTATGCAAAAAGAATGGCATTATTACTTCTGTTAATTTATCCGAAGTGTACAAATTTCCCAATGTTTAAGTGCAACTGTATTCGGATTGTGTACCTTGATACATAGAATAAAGACCACATTCAAGAAAACAAATCAATAATCATACAGAGAAAATCAAAATGAAATTTTGGAATAGAAATCAATAAGAAAAGTAACAATGCACACCTCTCAAATGTTTCTCGAGCAACTTTTGCAATTTGTCTTGCATCTGCTTCTAAAATATCTGAACCCATACCATTTAAGCCACCACCAAAAGAAAAGAAAAATTTTCATCTAGAGAAGATTCCAGGACCATTTCTCACGATGAGAACTGTTCTAATAATCAAAATGAAGCGAGCAATTAACCTATAATACCTTTCTCTCCATCTTGAAGCGGCGCCACTTTTTTCCCTGGGATTCGTGAAAATCCACGAATCCATTTAACAACCTGCTCCAGTCTTTTGTGGACAGTAACAGGCAACCAGTGGAACCTCTCATTGATTCCTCCTCTGGGCCTAGTAACGCGCTACGTGTGTAATGACAGACCAAAAAAAAAAAACTGTGTTATGTGCAAATTAAGAAATCATCTAGCAGTCATATCAAACTGGAATCAACATGAAAATATCAATACGCAGTTGAACACTTATAGCACGCATAATTTACATAAAATCAATTAAAAAAACGTAAAAAATGGCTAAAAATATATATTATGATTCTTCAGTTGTATTCTTTTCGTTTACAGGAAATGTGCTTACATAAAGAGTGTAGTTTTGGGAGAGACCAAGAGCTCGAACCAAACCGATGCACTGATTTTCTGCACCTGCAAAACTGTTGCCGATTACAATCGCTCTTCTGACTGTTTGCATTGATTTAGATTAAGCAATTATAAGGATTGAATATGATAAGACATTGAAGGGTTTTTGGTTTCACTGGAATCAAGTATTTTTTTTTTCTTTTTTTTTTTTAATGACGGGACCGTATTATCCTTTTGGTGCGCAACGAGTAAATACTCGGACTGACGCAATAGTCCATCAATCACGTCAATAAAGTAAATTGTATTAGACAAATTCGATGCAATATGCTCAACTGAGAAAGTATTGATTGAGAATTGAATTCGTGATCAAAAATTTTCTCGCTAACCTACTCCACCAACTTGATCACCCCTCGACAAGAATCAAGTTTTATATTGTGGGCAGGCGGTCTTCAAATGCAGAGCTTTGCCATTTGAGTTTTGAATTAGTTAGAATTAATCTATACAATATTAGCCCCCATTTGACATCAACACGTGGGATTTTTAATATTTTGAGTAGTTAATTTTCAAAGAATTCGTAATTTAAAAGTAGGAAAAAAAATTAATTTACAAAATAAGTATGTATAAAAGGAGTTTCAAAATAAAAAATATTAGGACTGTGCTATATAAACAGGGCCACATAGGTCCCTCGAATGAGAAGATTTATTCAAAATATTAACCGGCTTAACTTTTAAGTTAAAAGTACAAAAATAAAATTTTAAAATTTGGCTCTCTTTCATCCCAAGGATTTTGAGACTTTTGTAGAAGAAATTTTTTTGAATATATATATTTTTTATTTCTTCTTAATAATGTAAAATATTAATTTGTAACTAAATTTTATAAGAATATATATATTGATTGATTATTTTTTTTTTTTAAGGTCTCACGCATTGATAATACGGAATATTATTTATATTTTTTACATTTTTTTATTGAAGAATACTAAAATATTATATATATATTTCGATTACTTATTTATCTAATTTAGGTGACTTAAATTTTTTATTCTTTTAAAAAAAATTATTACATGAAGGAGAGAGGATCAAACTTCCACTCTTATAATTGATTTTTTCATTATTGAGCTAGATTCAAGTAAATACTATTTTAAATGAAAGTATTTAAAAGTAAAATGAATCCTATAAAAATCTGCAAAAGATTTGGAATGAAAGTCTATAGAACTTAGAAGTTATGGCCAATTTCATGGAGAGACAAAAAAATTATCCAACTATGTTGGTCAAAGTATAAAGAAGGAGAATACTAGAGCATTGAGAATTTACTTCAGATAAATGAGTAAAAATTATTCTTGATCTTTTATATAACTCGTATGAAAATCAACTATGGAGTGATTTCATACGTAAGATAAAATATCGATTGCAAATAATTGAAAGATAGTTCATTATAATTGTTTGAGATAATATGTCAAAACAATTATTGGTATGTAATGATTATCTAAGCATTCACTGTGCCAAAATTGTCAATAATAAATTAAAGTCTTTAACAAATCAAAATCATTTGTAGAACATATACGTCAAGCAATTAAGAAGATCAACATTTAAGAACAAAATGAAAGATCAAAAGTAAATAACAAAAATGTAACAAAGAGAAAATGAAGGAAACTAAAATATGATGAAAAGAAATTGATGCCTTAAAATGCTTGGCTAATGACCCCTTTTATAGGCAAAGAGATATCTAGGATGTGGATAATTGGAACTTGTATTCTATCTAACTTGAAGACATCTAGTATGTCCAACTTGATATCGCTTTTTAGCTATTATCTGCGGAGAATTTGGACTTTTTTTAATCAAAGATGAATTGTTACCACATAAGTTATCTTTCTATTGGTACAAATATCAAATCTATTAGATATTTATAATTTCAGTTATGGCCAAAAGACTAAGTGCTGCATACTAATAGAAAAGTTATACATGGTAGGTAACAACTTGGCCTTTGAAAGGTAATTTAAGCTGCCTATGATGTGAATTTGAATTTTTGGCAACATGAAAGTTGTAGTTCAATCTCTAATCTTTCTAACTCAACTTGAATCATCTTACTTTGACTTCTTTAACTCAAGTTCATTTTATCAAGACAATTTATCATTTTGACTATTCAACATGTTTTTCTTCACTTGCACCACATTTCAAAAACATCGAACAAATATTCTTTTTTAAAGTATAACAATCATGCCAACGTGTATATAAATATATATTGTGATTAATTACACTTTTTAACCATGTATTTACGCAAATTGACTTTATGACTGAGAATTAATATTCTATACTATAAGCAGTGAACTAACACAAAATAAATGTAAAATGCCTTGTAATTAATATATTTTTAAAGTTCTTTTAGATACTAATTAGAGGCGGTTGACTGAGAGATGTTCTCAATTTTGTAAAGGAGAGTGGACTTTTAAATTTCAGTGGCTGAATATAACTCCCTTATGGTTAGTTCAAACATAAGTCGAATTATGTGCTGCACCAAATACGGTGATTTTGTAAGACATCAATCCGTTACTTACCAATATAATTTTGTGGTGCTTACTGTTGGCGAACATGGTAGCCTACAATATGGTGACTTTTTCTCCAATTGACATGGATAGGTATAGGTAAATTGATTGTATTCCTCGACTTCCATCGCCACCAATTTTGATTTAAATTATATTTATTTTATATTTAAAAAAATGAAAAAGAAAAAGGATTTTGAACAAAAAATAAATAAAATCTCAATGTACAGTTTTTTCTGTGTCATGTTTTAAAAGTTAAAACTTGACACAAGAACATCTATATTTATTCACAAATTATAAAATAGACATCATATTTCAACAGAAGGAAAATGCACTTCAAATAAAATCTTAAGCTAAAACTATCCGATTGCGAGTCGAGATGCTCCTTGCACATTGTTGCTTTAACCGTAAAACTAGATTCACCGAACTAGGCAAACCGGAGCATAAAATAGTATAGCATCTTGCCCAAAGGACAAAACTTAAGCACCTAAACAAAGATTGTGAAAACCCCAATAAAACCATATTTCTAATCAATGGGGTAGATAGACAAGTCATTTGTATTACATAGTCCATTATCCTACCCATCATGCCTAAGACACTACATTTCTATCTCTTGAGCAAATATATATTTGAGCACTTCTACACATCTAATTTTAGAATCTTTCTTCAAAACTAATTTCTACCTAAAGTACTAAATGGCAGATAATTACTGTCAAAGCCCCATCAAATTTACATCACAGGAGGCTACAATAATTGCACATTTTGTTCAAAACTGGTCAAAGCACTCTTGTTTATGCTCTGGATCATTTAGTCACTCACCAGATATCTCTTTGATAAACAAATGGGTGTGTTAATTACTTAATTGTCTCGTTCAACTGCACCCCGTTTTCCTTTCCAGCTG